ATTGTTATCGCATTAGCAATGTTCATTTCACTAAACAATTCAAATAGAATCTTAATAGTTTTTGCTTTTTTTTACCTTAATTAAATTTAGGAAGACATTTTCGGACCAATTTTATGCACATATTTGTATCGTGACAATGAAATTGAGAAAACTTTGGATCTTGTCGATTCAACTACGGATTATGCGTTGACTGGTAACAACTATTTGAATATGTATTATTATCATAAAAGGTTTTTCCTTAGTTACTCATTTGTTCATAGTTTACAAAGTTAATCTAACGATTTTCTAAACACTCTTTCAACTTATATGCACTTAATGCTGAAGAAAAATCACTAATCTTTTATTGATGAAACGTTCATAATCAGTTTTATCAATAAATCTTTAATTCTTTCTTGCTTAAAAATAAACTGAGAACATTAATTGTAATAAGAATTGCAGATTAATGTATCAGTCCAAATCTTAAATATTATATATGAGTAAATATGAATGTAAGTCAACAAAATAAATACTTTCTCTGTGGACTTGTAGTCTATACAGCTATTTCATAAATTTCATTCTCACAAGTTAAATTAATTATCTTTAATAAATGTTGACACATTTATATTATGGTTATCAGTGGGAGAGTTCAGGTTACACGGTTTGTGTTATTTGAGGCTTGTCAACTTGATGTACCTACCTGCATTCCATTGTTGATTTTCAAACTGATATTCGAATCCAATACCTGTCAGTTCAAATAGCCACTGATTGATCAAAATTCAATCACAGTTAATCTATTCCCTTATGAATTCGTTATCTTTAAGAAAATTATAACTTATTGATTTGAATATTCCCACCTGAATTAGTTAGGTTCAAGTTCAGATTCTGTTCCGTTTTGCAATCTCTCTCTAGCTTCTATATAATAAGTTGACTACAAAAACATACACTTTAACTGTCAGGCTCCATATAATATGACGTGTGTTCAGTTCATACAAGTGTGAAAGAAAATAAATATAAACAAGTGTCATACGTAGTCAGGCACACAGATTTATGATACTCTCTATAATTATGCTGCATGATTGAAACCTACAGTATTTATCAGTTCCTCTTAGTTTTTGTTGATACCTTTTCTGTTACCACTGTTCAACTACTGAATTATGTCTAGAATCCATTGAAGGTGTTTTTAACGTTCTATAAGCTAGATAGTTTAATAGTGAAGCTTTCATCGTCTTTTTCGACAGCATAATCAGACTACATACTTCATCAATGAGAAGTGAACTAATAGAGTTTTTCTTAGATTAAAAACAATTGAAACAGATACCACGTAGTTGTAAACAACAATCAACCAAATTGTAGCTAAATAGAATAAGTGTTGAATTGTATTGAAACTCACTCCTCATTGAAATACGTACGAATGCTGTTGTCCAGAAAGACATTGAAAGGTTTACAATTGAATCAGCCAACTTAGAGAACAGAACACTTTCATCCTGAACCATTAATATTTTTCATCATCTCAACTTCAGATTATTAATAGATGGATCTCAGCTATTTGTATGACAGTAAAAGAGAAACATAGGACCCTTATTTCTGCTAGTGTGTTGCATATGCCTAACCACCGACTGCCTCGACGAGCTTTGTTTTATAGTGTAGGAATAGGTTGGAAGAAAGTTAGGGGCGGCCAAATCAAAACATTGCAGAAATCCATGAAGTCACTGACAAGTGGACTGAGTCATATTAGTAGGTGTCGACTACCTGGGGGATTTGAATTGACAATTACACCTCTGTGGTAATGTGTTGTGGCAACATGAACTGTTGTACGTACGTACGCACAAAGTTATACGTTGCTATTGATTGATTGATTGATTTCTGCTACTGAATTTTGAAGTTTTTCTGTCCATACTTAAAAGTGTTAATTAGATATATAAGATATTGCTGCTATACACATAATAAGGTCAATCTTTGTAATACATTAGGCTTAAAAGTAATTGGTAATTTACATTAAAATCGACTGCTTGGTTTTAACTTGGAGATGAATATTTTAGTATTATATTTGTATGAATTATTGCTTCGCTGAAGTTCATTCCAAATAATTCATATTATTCAAATTAAGTTGTAACAGTTTTGATTTATTTTTTTAAACAATATTTATTTCTTCAACGACCCAGTTATTAATCTAAAAAATAATATTTATTTATCGTTATCTTTTTTTTACTTCTTAATTTAGGTTCTATTTTTGCTCAAGATAAAGAATTTATTAATTATGCAACTGATCGCCTGATTGATACAACTGGTAATTTTTATGTGAATGTTCAATCCACTGGATCTGTAGTTGGTCAACAACCATTTGGTGGAGCTAGATTATCAGGTAAATTACAATGTTTTGTATCATATCTATCAAGTTTAACAGCATGACTTTAAGGTATTTGAATAATAGTAATTGGTTCAATTGTTAACATAAATAAAATTGTTCAATATATTGAACTGTTGAGAAAAAAAGAACTATCTAATTAATTGTAAACTGTTCCTAGATGAAATTTGATGAACACAATTTGTCTCTTTGACAAATTTCAATAGAACAATGAGAAAATAGAGTGAAGCTTTGGTGCACGAGAATCGAATGCTTTCAGTTCGCGCCTAACATTTGTGGTTGTAGATGCGCATTGCTGAGGAGTCACATACCCGAACGAAGTAGTCTTTCAGTGGTGGTCTGATTTCAATGTTATTTGATCTTGATAGGACGTTGATTTCCGAATCATTTAAAGTCACTTATGTAACATAACAAAGTCAGTGTAGAATTAGCATGACATTGCTTATAACGTAAAATCCTACTGATTAATTGAATGTGAAATTTCATTATATGAGTTCACTTGTTTAACAATTCGTATCAGAATAAACAAATAACGAAATTTCACAATGTTTCATTTCATTTCATTATAATTCATTGTTAATATGACTTGTTTTTATGCGCTAACTTTTAATTATCATTAATTACGAATTATTTGACAGTACATACTATTCAAGTTTCAATTATAAGTATCAATTTGATATGATTTTTGTTTATAAGTAGGAAATCTATTTATTCACTGTTAATTTCACTAGTATTATTATTATTTGTTGAGAATATAATCTAATGCTGATAGATAATTTTGCAAATATTCATAACTTGATTAATATTAACTAGTCGGAATTACATTGTCTCTAACTTTTTCAGGTTTTGATAAATCCATAAAATTTAATTAGGTCATTGAAAATTAATTATTGTTTTAGTTATTGGAGAAATTTTATAAACTATAATGTAAACTTAATTGATTACTCTGAATGGGAAATTAGAATTATCGAACTAAATAACTATCTGTTGCCCTATTGTTTAATAAAATATAAAACTTTCTCTATTACGGTCGAGCCACACAAAAACTCGTTATCTTAATTCTAAAATACATAGGGTAGTCATTTTGTCACTGTTTATCTGTGGAAATCCATGAATATATATACATGCTATGTTATGAGAGACAGACAGACAGATACAACGTAGAACTTCGTACGTGAGTGCATAAGTTCAGCTTGTCATACCGCATCAGCACAGAGTCGGTACTGTCAGTTCGAATCCAGTAGTGGTAGCTATAGTAGAAGTATTAGCAGTAATGGAGAAGATTAGGGAGCGAAGATATGATTCGAGAAGTATAATTCAGTAAGATAAATTTAGAAGGAGAAAGGTAGAGATTATGAGGAATGCAGAAGCTTAGAATTTCATAGAACACAAAGAGTGGATGCGCTTGCGCCATTGCAAACGATTTTAAGCCATGTCATTCAAGGTCTCTAACCATTGGTGACTATCGTCTCGCGGACCCCAACCAGGTAGCCTACATCTACCAACATGAATCAGTCCACCTGTCAGTGACTGCATGGATTTCTGCGATGTTTTGGTTTGACCGCCCCTAGCTTTCTTCCAATCTACTCCTACACTGCAAAACATAGCTCGTCGCGGCAGTCGGTGGTTAGCCATACGTAACACATGTCCCATCCACCTCAACTGATGAAGTTTCACTACTTCATCTATTGACTTGCCATTCCTACCTAGAACTCATTTCCTAACGACAGCATTGCTTATTCGGTTGTCCCAGGATACACGAACAATGCTTTGGAGACACCTATGATCTAAGACTAGTAACCTACGGAAGTCCTCTACTCTTAACGGCCATGTTTCGCATCCGTATAGTAGGACGAAGCGAACTGCTGCACAGTACACTCGTCCTTTGGTTAGCAAACGGATATCTCGCCTTCGCCATAAGTGACGCAAGTTTGCAAAAGCCAATCGAGCTTTCTGTATCCGTGCTGAGCTATGCTATGAGAAGCGAAAAGAGTATCCAAACTCTAGTCCAATTTAGTTGTATCATTCAGATGAATATATTGTTATCTTTAACAATGAATCAATATCATCACGTCTACCTAATTTGATTTTTATCCTCCCTATTAACTCGTTTTTTGGTTGTGTTTTTTTCTTCCCTATTCCTAGGTACAAACGATAAGGCCGGTGGACCTCAATACACTTTACGATTCACTTCTCCACTTTCAATTAAAACACAAATCAAATCCATTCCATCATGGAAACAAGCACATATGATCAATTGAGTTGTTGAATTTGTTTCTTTTTTACTATTGAGAATTACTCTTTTTTTATACGTACAATGCATAATTGTTGAACAATTTGCATACTTATTGTCCCAATTTGATGTTTGCAATATTTTTTAATCTTTTTTAAATGTAATAAATTTTATACTTTTTAGAAAAATGATATTCTGTTTATTTAAAAATGTTTCAAACAGTTGTCGTGATTGTATTTGTATTCCAAAAAAAGTAGTATGCTTTTAGCTTGCTAACCAAAGGTGGTGGATCAGTTCTAGGGAAAAAGGCTCGTCGCGCAAAATCCCTAGATCAATCAAAGTTAGACATTAATACCGTTGGATGCCGGCCCAGTGTTCCGGAGGTTAGGCGTTGGCGCACAATACCAAAGGTCCAGGGTTCGAATCCTGCGAGATGCAGGAGTCGGATGCGCACTGCTGGTGAGTCTCGTACCAGGGCAAAACGGCCGTTCGGTGCTTCCAGGTTTCTAATGGTGGTCTAACAATGATTGATTGATGATTTCAAATATGTAAAAACATTAATCTCCATAACTCCAATTGAAAATATCGTTTATGAGTGTCGGGCAAAAATATTTCTTGTCAGTTATCAGTAAGCATTCAAAAGACATATTTCTAAACGTGTGAGTTTATAATCCAACCACTTCTTTATTTTGTGAATTTCCCTTCTCTGTACATTTTATGCACGGCTAAAACTACGTAACTAGGTGTGTAAAATAGTTCTTAATTTCTTTACCGAAATTATATACATTAGCAGTTAAGTTTAATGATGTAGCTTATCTTGTAACTTCATGATTCGCTCAGTAGACTTGCATCAGTTGATATCACAGGGTAATGTGTTTACTTATGGCATAAATCTTAATTATCCATTCCTATTTTGTGTTAGGGGATTTTAAGAGAACTCAGAAAGTCAACATACATGCCTGTTATTAAATTCTGATCATATATCCAAGATGAATTATCAGTAACCGGTTACTGAGGGAGTTCATTAATGACGAGGATGAGTTGATGAATGAATAAAGATATGATTCGTTACGCATATTGGTCCAAAGCTAATGCGGTTGTTAAGAAACCTGGAAGTTTCCACTGTGTTTGACCAGGAGTTGTGACCATTCTAAAGAAATAAATCAGAATGATCTCCATGTTTCCCCAGTTGATAGTTTGCGACAAAGAATCAACAATACGATGCTGCGTCTTAATTTGAACCATTTTTAATCGTAGTAGGAAGGAAATGACTTAAAATGAGCGGAAACCAAATATGTAGCAACACGATACAGTTCATTAGAATGCAGATGAAATGACAACCATCCGTTCACCTAACATGTGTCCTTCAACAAGTGTATCGAGATTAGTAATCACTGTGTTGAGTGATGACGATTAGCATTACGTGCATACTTAGCATAGTTACTATGGCTGAAACTGGTCTTGGGTGATTTCAAGAGATGTCGCAATTAATCAATCGGTATGTAGCTTTTGTCGACGAAAAAATGGTAAACTTCCAAAGAATGCGGCTCCAGAATGCTAGCATCCTAACTCCTGTTTTTGAGCATAACCACAAACCTGACACTTATAGTGTTTCTAACCTCCATACTCTCAACTCTAATAATCCTAGCCCTACTAATGCCATGAAACCTCATATTCTAACTCTTTGGTTGGTTTAACTGTCCTTTCCTGACCATAGATATATAGGATACTTCCTCTCAATATTCCAACATCCAGTCGGTGGTCTACGATCATAACACTAACCAAATTAGCAGTAATGCAAAGCCTCCTCAAAAATATGGTATCTGGCAGGTGTCTGTTTTAGTGTTTAATTCTACTAAGTGGTTGAAATTGCCTAAGGAGTAAATCTCTTCATTAGATGCTAATAAGTAATGGTTTTCACCAAGCCTAAAGTTACGTTTCGCTCTAGGGAATTGTATAAGAAAATCTGGAAGGAAAAGTGAGTCGGTGACTTAGTGGGCTCCTGGAATGCTCTTACACTTAATATTAGACGAGAATAACATGAGCTTGAGATCAAAACAATCTCAGAATGGAAACTGCGAGTTGTTGGGATAGGGTTTTCAAGTGTGTAAAAATTGTGCATGCATTCAATGGCCGGTGTCTTTATTTTGACTGATCGATTTCATCTGTTCCGAGGTATTCTGTAAATTTCAATGGTCTTGATATATGACATTATTTAAGGTAACTTCAGCTATTTGTTAATAAATCTTAGCTCGCTAATGAAACTATAACCTCAATGGGTTTCTAATTCATATTGCCGGACTAACCTTTCCTGTCATGTGATTGGCTATTCTCACCAGTAGGTTGCTAATTTTACTGTTTTCCAGGACCATATTCGTTTCTGTACATGCAAAGTTGATCTACTTCAAATTTGTCTTATTGATTTATTAGGCTTTCAAACTTATTCCTTTATGTCATAGATTAATGTGTGTCAGTCATACTATCTATGGAGTCTGTTTAGATCTCGGTTCGTATTGAAATTATGCCCAATCATTCATATTTAGATAATACCGTACGACTGATCACAAGAATTAACATTTATATTATTGGAAAAATGAACTTTATTATGTGATTAGCAGAGTTGCAGCGTCAGTAGTTATACATTTTCATCTATAAATAATTACCTTTAATGACGATAGAGATATGTTCGTTCGATTTAATATGTTGTATGAGTGTAGAACAGAATTATATCGCATCGTAACACAGTATCCCTTTTCATTCATATTTTTTTGCTTATGTTTTTCTACGATTCCGTTGAAAAACTGATCTTATATGTCCTTGAGAACTTTTCTCAGCACAGATAGATTCAGGTTACAAATTATTCTATGAAGTCAGTTTTTTAAAACTTTTATCTTTGTTAGAATTCATATTGATGGTAAGAGGTCACACATAATTTCACAACACTGATCGTCATATCCAATGCCAATTTTCCTCATTGTGTTTTTATATATATTACTTACATTTTTTTCAGTAGCTTAAATGCTTTATGACAATTTTCGTCAAGCTGATTGAAAATAATGATATATAAGTAGGCCTATATTATCAGTGTAACATTAATTCTCCGTCTATCGATAACAATTTTACTAATTAATAGGTAATGAAATGTATATATATATATATGACTGATGTTTCGCATAATCATATAATAAGCGGATATTTCTTCATAAAAATAGATATTCTATTTTATATTTATTTGAAATATTGTGTTATATGCGGAAGAAAATTGAATCAATAAATATTTAATTAGTTATTTACAGAATAATTCGATAATTCCAAGGAATATGAAATTATTAAAACTGTATTTAAAAATTTCTGTTTGATTTTGCAGCTAGTAAGCTAACTTATACATTATTTGATATGGTTTGATTGTCATTGAGCTATGAATAGCGTTGGAATCTAATATTCCCGTTGCGTCCTTTTGATCTGTTCACCTGGATATACCTACGTCCCTATGTCGGTGTTCATGATGAAACTTCAGCCTAGTTACTTATCACTTCAAACGCCAACACGTTATTCATTTAGGTACTGATTTCAGAAAACCACTAACTTGTCAAGTCGATTCAATTTGTAATCCTGAGAGTTAGTATTGTCCTGTTGTTATTACAGCTTTTCTCAGTAGCTAGGTGGATAAAGCGTTGTGGTTTAAAGTATTGAGTACTGAATTCTTGTTTGATTATAAATATCAATACTGAGGTTTAGCTGATGGGTACAATACGTAAAATAATCTGCAGTATCTGTATTCAAAACCAAGAACACGCTAGAACGTGTAACATAATTGGTCACACTGAGCTATCCCCTCAGGATGCTCATGGATGCCAGCAACATGAATTACAAATCCTTCTGAATGTGCCATCTAGGATAATATTCATAAATTATTTGTGAAAGTTGTTTGTTTATGTGTTGATGTTGTTTTGAAAGACCATAAAACCCCTTATCTTATTTCTATTATGAGTGTGAAGTTCATCAAACAGACATTGAATAATAAGACATACTTGATTAGTTCATCGGACTTGCAGGCTAAAAAACATATGAATATGGACAAGCTATCTATCGCACGTAAATCTTCTATAGTTCAACTTGACAAAAAGAATTACAGAATAATATAATGATGATAATAATAATCACACTCCTAGTCATATGAATATTCACATTGTTATTCAGGGTTGCAATTGATCAGTCTCTTTAAGTGTATATAGACATTCATCTTTGGATATGAATCGTAAATTTGTTTTGTTTCCACCATTTTATTGCCTACTTTGAAATTTACACATGACATAATTTGATGTAATCATATTATCTTATAGCATAAATAATAATCGCAATAATCATACAATAACATTTCAATTTATTTGAAAACAGTATGGTAGATTGACTTTTACAGGAAATTACAAAACAAATAGATCAAAGATAACAGAGAGATTCTTCCTTAATGAATAACATGTAGATCATTCTCTGATCACGATTTAGATAAGCGAAGTAGTCAAAATGTTGCAAACTACTGTCAGTTGAAATTTTCCTTCAATAGGAAGGATCAAATAAATGGAAACAGTGAAATTGCGGTTAATAGTTAAGAGGTCACAGTTTATTTTTTCAGTTTGGTTTAACACAAGAAATATTCAAACTACATTATTACAAAAGTTGTGTTCGCCCACTCACCACATGAATAGATCATGTTGAAAAAGATACACTAGCCGGCTTTAGTCTTTAGTATTAGTTAAAAATTGTATTGTTCGTTGTAAATAAATCGTTGGGACTAGATAGAATAAGGTTTTTAAATGGAATTTGTTTGATTCCAATAACATCATTCATCATAAGTTGTGTCGATTGAATCCTTACAGAAATTATACTGTGAGACTTGAAGGCATCAAACTACTTATGATGATCGTTTAGTTACTGATTCAAGTGCACAATACTTTTATCACTTAAACAGTCATATATTTCATTAATATGAAAAACAACTGTAACGTATATTTTTTTTAATGTTGAAGATCTAACGAAAATATGGAAGTATCCATTTTGGCAATCAATCGGTTTTAGAAGAATCGAAGCAGAAAAATAGCTAATAAATTAAGACAATAAATAAGATAGAATACCAGTAGTAGTGAATAACTCTGACAAAACTTATCAACAGCTCGTAAGTTTTTAAAGT